TTGGTTTAATTAAATTTTTAAAAAACACTGAGGAATGAACACTTTCATGATTAGTAAGTCGCGATGGAACCATATTTTTGGGGAAAAAAAAATCCCCCCCCCCCCACCCCAACCACTCACCTGTAAATTCACTGCTGAATATTTCTATGCAAACCTACAACATTAATGTAAACTATAAATATAGTGTTAATGTTTTGGAGGGAAAATCTATACACTCTGACTTTGAAAACATGGAAGGATTTCGAAGGAATTTCAAATGTCCAACAAAATAATGTAGCCTGACACGACTCAAGGTGCAAGCTTAGCTGAAGTCTGACATGACTCAAGGTGCAAGCTGAGCTGAAATCTGACAAGACTATTTGTATTATGCAGCTGATTACAATATTTATGTATTTAATATATATATATATATTATATAGCCAAATGACTAATGTATGTGGTCACTGAGGTCATGGGGGAGACCTGAAAAATACTGATGACTTTCTCTGAGGACAATAACATTATTATAACAACACTCCATTTTATTCAAAATACTGATTCATCCAATAGTGGAATGATTGCTGGTAGAGAATAGAACAAAAAGTCATAGATCAAACAATTAAATTCATGACATATGTCAGCATGACATTGTCTAGAAGAGACAGAGGGGCAATAAATACATGAAGTCAGTTACAGATAGGAACTCTCTTTTCTGTACTCGTAGAATGTTAAGCCATTTCTTTTGTATAAGTAAAAGAACAATTAAAGAAGAAAAATTGTACTACAAATATTAAAATAAGATAAGAAAATGTATAGATTGTTATAAGAAAAGTGTTAGATTGGTATAGGACAAGCCGTACAAAGCACAAGAAAAACTGTACGTACCTTAGTGGAAGGTAGTGGATGTTAAGAGACACTGGCCGAAATATTTATCCTTCAATCAATGATCATGAAATGTTACTTGCAGCCAGATAGACACAAACTAAAAATGTACCATCATATACCATTGCTAGAAATTCCCATAGTCTTGCAATAATGAATAAAAAAACTAAATACCCTAGATAATATGAGTACCCTTTCAACAAGAGTGCTCAGTGAATGAGGTTGAATTTTAATTGGCTAACCTCTTTCACTCGCTGCTTTAAACAATAAATAATTATTTTTTAAAATATCTCAGAGTAATTCTTCATATATCTCTGTTATTTAGATCAGAGAGCTCATAAAAATATATTAACCAAATGCATTTCTTAATATAGATACCTGTACCTACTTTAAAATACGGTATCAACAAAAGCTCAAATGTATATCATAAAATATTTGGTTATCTCAAAACTGATTTTAAAAAAAGAAAATAATATACATTTCATAAATAAAAATTACATTAAATCTAACACTTCTTACATTGATTGATGTATTTTGCTGCCATTTTCTGCTCTCTGCCTGGCCAAAGAAAAGATCCATACACTATGTTTTTGTACAACACAGCCACATTATAATTATTTAACAAACTTATAGAATATTCTCTCTTAGAGTTTAGGATACCTCTTCATTGCTCATTTAACTATGTATAGCATGCAACTGGGCATCTTAATATTACAGCATATGATATGTCTTTTATAAGGCTATAAAATATATTAGACAGTTCGGTCACATTTTATTTCAAGAAATAAAACCTTAATTTTGACCTTGAATATTACATGCTGGGAAGACCCTCCCCAACTTAAGCCAACTAACATCGCCAGCCCATCTAGTACTGACACAATTTTTAGACTTGCCATGGTGCAACCTAAATCTAAAATGTCAGCATCAGGACAATTTATTCCAATCCAACATGACCCCAGCATCACATCTGCCAGTATGTTATTCCAATCCTGAAAGTCAAAGTTCAAATTTAAATACTTTGAGATCGTGGCTGCTTGCCATAATCACACACAATGTTAGTGCTACAACATAGATAAAGAAATTTGCTATGGAATGAACAGTGAATATATATATATACAAGCATTGCTAGAAAAAATTGGCAAAATTCACAGGTTTAATAGAAATATAATAGGATAATTTGTGTAACTTTGTTCAAAAAGCCAGGTCATAGTTGCCAACATGAACTAACATGTGACAGGTCAGTCAATAGCTTGACCTAAATGACAGGTCACATCTACTAACATGACCTCATATATGTGACAAGTCACTGTTACAAGTATAAAAACAGAAATGTGAAAAATCACAGTCCCCCACACAACCCAAAATGTAAAATACTGTTGGCTATGAGGTGGGTCTGAAAGAAAAAGAGATTGTGGGAATGATGAACTAAAAGTTAAATGAGGACTGCCAGTGTCAACATATTTTTCATTGTTAATCAGTCAAAAGTGCATAACAAATATTTTAACAAAAGATTAAACACTGAGCACGCCTTACCAGTTGGTGACATTTTTTTTTTTTTTACCTTCAAAACTTGGTTAGGAAGAGTAGCTTGATATCTATCAGTTTTGACGTAGGTGCCTTCACATTAAATGAAAACGAACCATTTGAGAAATTGTAACTTTTTTTTTTTACCATCTCAAAATGAAAGCCAAAAAGATGAAGTAATTATCACAACAGGTGTTCTTACAAGATATCTAGAAAATTCCGTTGATACGATCATTACAAGATAAATAAGAAAAGTAGTACACCAAATCAGCAATTTGAAAAATCCCAAAAGAACTTAAATATTAACAAAGTCTTCAAATGTTTTTTAAATATTATCAAACCATCAATCAAAAAACAAGAACAATAATAAACAAAATCCAAACATCATCATCAAAGCACCAAATATAGAGAAAAAAAAAGAAAAAATACAAGGAACAAACTAAAGTGAAACACCCACAGTGAATGCAATACATGAAATATCACACGATTCTATGTTGCTATGATTCCAAAACTTTTTTATTAGTGGCTTCGTTTGTTGAGGACTCGTACTTTCTGAGATCATCCATGCTCATATCTGGGGAAAGACAAGGGTAACGTTTTCATAGTAACAGACAAGTTGAAGATGTGCAGTCATTAAATTGACCTTTCTACTCTATCTTTGGTGTCAATAGAAATTATTTGACCTAACTAATGTACTTTATCCACACAAGAAAAAAAAAAAATAGTTTAGATTCAAATCAAAAAACATAAATACTGAATGCTTATTGAAGAAAAATAATTTTTTTACAAATTTAGAAAAAGGGTAATCATTCTGCATTTTATATGATAACTTAATATCAAGGATGATGTGAGATTATATTAAAATAAGCACCAATTTAAAAAAAAAAGAAGACAATAAATTAGATTTTACCAAACCTAGATTGTGAATTGTACTAGAATTAAACTTTAGTTTTGGACTGGTTTCCCTTAAATTAACCCACTTAAATTACTTACTTATCCACTCGTCAATCCAAGCGAATGCCTGTCGATGTCCCAACAGTAAGATGTCTCGCACAGTCTGCGGGAATAGTTTAAAAATGATATTTTTTTTAGCTTTTTTTTTAATACAGGGAACAGAAAATATATAACAAAATTTGTCACTTCAAAAGTGGATTCTGCCACTTTTTGAGAAAAATCCTTTTGCTTAATATTTTTGTCTAAGGCATTATTTAACTGCTTTCTGCGCTTTAATTATTTGTAGTAAATAGGATGTTAAGAATTAGTTTTGTCATATCTTGTGATTTTAGTATTTTCTGTTGCTATGATTTTAAAATTAAGAAAGTTTAGCATAGTAAAAAAAAAAACAACAAAAAAAACTCAAGGATTCACCTTCTGGGTGAATGCCTCAACCCTGCCTTGCATCCCAAACACTTCAAATTTTACCTTGACACACTTGTATGAGCACATAACGGGGGAGGACTCAGCCTAAGAGTAACAGGAAAATACTAATTACTGTTATCATGTTTTATTTTAACTACATGGCTTTGAAGATTTAAAAAAAATATGTCTATTTCATTGTTTCCACTTCCACCATCAAAATTAGAAGGAAAAAAAAGAAGAAGAAAAATTCAAACTGGAAATTAACAAAGACACACAGGATCTCAGTAATGTTAACATACCTGCCAATTTTTAATCAAGGGACCTCTGTTGGTTTTTAGAGACTTGAATTTTGTCAAATCCTAATCGATCAGAAAACAAAGATAATGATATTATTTTTATTTTTTTATGAACCATTCAACCCCTGCTGTTACATGTGACTGGGGAAATGGTATGATTTTTAAATTAACAAAGAGAGGAAACTCTTGACAATCAAGAAATCACGAGTGTCTGCAGAATGCACTTTGAAAGACACATCCTCCAGAAGTCACACCAGGCCTTTAAAAACAAGGCAAGAAAAACTTGTGATGATCTAAAACAAGTTTCACAAGTATAGAAACAGTATAAATAATTGCATATGGGAAAACTGTAGCACTTTGTACCTAATCCTTGGTAGGTAAATAAGTGTGAGTATAAGTCTTCTCACTTACCTCATTTTCTTTGTAGTGCTTAGGAGGTAAAGGATCAATAGCAATGTCTACAAAATCAATTTCCCTCTTTTGCAGTTCTTCATTTGAAAGATTTAAGCACTAAATAAATGAGATAAAAATAGTTTTGATTATTTTCATGAATAAAGGAAAATATAAAACATTCAAAACATAAATAGATAATCAGATTATGTATTTTCCATTCAAACAGCAGTTTTCAAACTTTAAAAAAGAAATCTGACAACCACTAAGAATTTTGACATATTAGGCTCAAATAAAGTACCAGCTGTTACACATCTAACAAGTTATACAAATTATTTGACTAAATTACACAGATAATAACATATTATATTTCAAATAACAGCATACTTTGTTGGTAAAAATGAGAATCAAATTTTACAAAGATTCTTATGCCATGACACTACTAGAGTCTTGAGGCACACCTATTATGAAACTTTTGAAACATAATTGTATTTAATAGTACAGTGTATCATGACACACTGGTTAAAATACACTATCTCAAACTACCGTAATTTAGATCTCTTAAATTATACTTTAACGGAAGTTGCTCTTATAACCCCCTGAAAAGACACCTTTGATAGAGTATGGGTAAATGAAAAATCAAAGCAAAGTAATACTTTTATTTAAATTTACAAAGCTAAAGTAATATAAATTATGGTTAAATAATGTCTATAAATAATGTTCAAATTAGAACTTACATTTTCAGATGTACCTGCATTGTCTTCATATCTTGTCTCTATATAAATGCTGTACCGGGGTAAAAATGAGCACTGAAAAGAATGGTGTAAAATAAGAGTGAATTGAGCAGGAAAGTCCTTTGGGGACAGCCGAATACATGAGTCAATGCTATCAAAAATATTTGGTTATGTTAATAAATAAACTGATATGGTACTTACTGTATATTCTGATGTTTTTTTGTGTGTTGATGTTGAAGATACAGCACAGAAAATGGGAGGTAAAAACATAACAAATTATTATATGTATTTTATTATATATTCATGAATAACAATAAAAATGAAAAAAAAAAGCCTATGCTATTCTTAGTACATATTAAGTAGTAAGGGTGCTGGGTGGCCGAGTGGTCTAAACTGAGCAAATCTCAAGTTGGTGGTCTGGAGTTCAATTCCAGCTAGAGCAAAAACACCACCAGCACCCCGGGTAGATGAGACTCGTTAACCTTGGACGGCAACTCATCTAAGAGAAGGAAACTCTGAAATCAAACCCGGAGATGGAGTCCCGAAAGGCGGATAACATTGATACAATGAAACATTCCGACAACTCCTGCGACGTCACTAGTGCCAAGCTGTATCATCCCATGATGTTCCCTTGGGTTACCCAGCGGTAACCCACTCCATCGTCACATAGTGACGGACGGATGCCAGCAAAAATTAAGAAGTAGATCTTTTTTACCATTAAGAAACTAAAATTTTATGTCAATGCCACAATTCATTTCCACCACAAAGAAAATGATGATTTTATTGAAACTACACAGGATTAATTTGCAGTTGGCAGCAGTAATAATATTCTATCGTTATGGTATTTTTAAAGCAAACCTGTAATTGTGTAGGGAAAGTAGTTCCAGGCTTTTTCTGTAATATAAAATATTTTTGGAATCACCGATTGAATCCACGATGGCAAGCGACTGAAAGGAAAAATGGAAAACAGACATTCAGGATTGAAGCTAATAAATGAAATGTAACTCAACAGGACCCCTTGAGGCTCATGGCATTTTTCACACTTGGCCCATAATGGCGAGTCATTATTCTAGTAATGGTGCATCAGAATTTGTAGCTTCTGTACTGTTGCTTGAACTGGAGTTCATTTTTGGTACTGTCATTTGTTTCCTCTCTAAACCCACTCTTGGGATAATTTGGACAAAATGTCAAAAAGCATTATTAGAAATTGGGTGGAGAGGATAGAAATAAGCAATTACTTTTGATTTTATAAGATAGAAAAATCCAATAACATAAGCATAGTTTTTAAACATGACTCACTTTGAAAGGTGTATTCTTTTCTCTGTGTATCTCCCGACACCATGAACAGGATCACTACATTCCTCATTCTTGATTACTTCCACCCCTTCTCCCTTTTCTGATTGTTCATGGCTATGCTTTGCAATCATGTACAACTGACCTATGCGGTACTGAAATAAGAAATATAAATGGATAAATCATTAAAAGCAATAAACAGTATGACATACACTTTTGCCAGCCCAGGATAGTTTGCATTAGATGTCTCCTAATTGTAAAGGTTGTTTTACTTATGAGACAATAGTTAAATAACATAAGGATTTATAAAAATCTCTTATGGGTTTTAAGTTTTATAAAAAATGTCTGATTGCTGAATACAACCATGAAATATAAACCATTTCAATATTTATTTTGGCATAATTTAATGCCCATATAGACTTATATGAAATGGATTACCTCATCTACCGATAGTGGCATGCAGATCCGATACTCCTTCAATAACATATTTATTTCAAATATTTGGGATGTTCAAAGTAAGTTGTTTAATCTTTTAGTGGTGTATAGTCATGTCTTTTTCCATGGTCTTTAACTTAGTCTTAAGTTTCATTTTATCTAATTCTATGAATGCACACATGTCACTGTGACATTCTACTGAAATAAAGACAAAATTAATAATTAGTACATGATATATGCCAAGAAGGCAAGTTTTTAAATTACTTTTAGATAGAATATTTAAAGTTTATAATTGGTGTGACTGAAGAAAATATTTCATTAGCCCATATAAAGTATTTTAAGATTTAAATGAAAATAGCTGATAAAACTGTTTACTTGAACAGCGTTATTATCATTTAGTTATTTAAAGTCATTCAATGGGATTCAAATAAGTGGATTGTACCATATTTTATAAATATTAAAATAAATACTAAAATAAGCACATTTTTTTTTTCTTTAAAAACAATAAATTACATTTTACATAACCTATACTGTGAATTGTACAAGAATTCAACTTTAGTTTAGGGCTGGTTTCACTGGACACTTAAATTAACCTACACACTTAAGGGACCATCCAAAAATGACGTTCGGGGGACAGGAGGAGGGGGGTGTGTTCAAATTTTTGGGACGATGTGTGAGTGACAAGGGGGAGGGGGCTTAAGCAATGTGAAGATACACGAAAAGCTGAATATTGAGCTAAGAAATTGCACTTAATAACCCTAAATTACAGACATTTTTAACATTATTCTTTTATACAATTATAATTATTTTATTTTTAAACTACGATCACCTAGAGAATCACTACAGGTATGCGAGGTCTAAAAAGGGCCTCTGATTAAGTTACATGACATGTTGTAGTTACAATGACAGTTGTGAGAATTTATGGCTAAATGTGGACACGGGACTACCAAGTGAAGTGAGATGGAACGGAAAAAAATGGTTGACCGGAAAGGGAGGGGGGTGTATCCTAGTGAATGCTCTAGGGCAGGGATTCTTAACCTTTTGCAGTGCTGCAGGCCCACTCCGTTTGAACATCCCCCAACCGTATAAATTATATTGTAATAAAATTACAAATAATTAAATAATTTAGTTATCATAGTTTTATTTCTTTCATTACAAGTATTGCGCAAACAAAATTCACCAGAAAAACATTTACTGCTGCTAATCAGAATGCATTAAAACTTTTTTTGTTTTTTAAAAGCAGCAACAACTAGCAATGGCAGCAAATACAATAATAATAATAATAATAATAAGTGGTCTTATATAGCGCGGTACCCCAGCCTAGGGCTGGGCTCACCGCGCTGTACATAAATATAGCAAAGAGGCATAATCATAATATTAAAATAAAATACATAAATGAAATAAAAACAACATATAAGCAAAACAACACCATAGGTATATTCATCCACCCACACCAGACATTTTTACAAGGAAACCCATGTACGTTTATCGGTTTATAGGAGGAGAATCAGTCAGAGTAGTATAGTTTAAATAGATGTGTTTTGAGTGCAGTTTTGAAGGCCTGTGTGGTTGTTATATTGCGGATGTGTAGTGGCAAAGAATTCCATTGTTTGGGGGCGCAGAAAGAGAAAGATCGTTCACCATATAATTTAGTGCGTGTCTTGGGAACGGACAGAATACGCGAGTCTGCGGAGGAGCGAAGTTGTCGAAGGGGTGAATAGACAGAAAGAAGTTCAGTTAGATAGGAAGGGCAGGAATCCGAGAAAAAGTTGTGACAGAGAAGAGACAGCTTGTAGTCAATGCGTGCCTGTATAGGGAGCCAATGTAGTGAGTGGAGTAGTGGAGTGACGTGATCGCGTTTTTTTGCCTTAAGAACAAGCCTAGCAGCAGAGTTTTGAACTTTCTGCAGTTTTTCTATAAAATGTTTCGGTGAACCTGACAGAAGTGAGTTGCAATAGTCAAGACGAGAGAGAACAAGAGCACAGACTAGAGTTTTTGTTGCGCTAACTGTCAGGTAGTGGCGGATGGAGCTGATCTGACGGATGGCGGTGTATGCCGAACGACAAATGTGAGAGATATGTTTATCGAGAGACATGTTGTTAGAAAGAATATAACCAAGATTCCTAGCAGAGGGTGTAAACTGTATGTCGGAGTTACCTACTTGAAATGAGGTGGGAAGAGTTGAGGTAGAGGATGATTTGTGATTGTAAATGAGGAGTGCTTCTGTTTTGTCATCATTAAGCTTCAACTTGCTGAGTGTCATCCAAGACTTGACATCATCAATGCACCCCCGCAAAGTCTGGACAGCGGAATCGACAAGAGATGGATGGGTATGCATGTATAGCTGTGTATCATCTGCAAATGACTGGTTCTCAACAGCATGCCTCCCGAGCAAGAGGAGTAGTGGTCTGGTATACATTATGAATAGAACCGGACCCAAAACGGACCCCTGTGGCACTCCGTACACCAAATCAGCACTGCCGGAGAGACAGCCATCGACAGAGACCATTTGCGTTCTATCAGAGAGGTAGGACCTAAACCAAGCCAAAACCGAACCAGAAATTCCAAAGTAGTTTTCAAGGGTTTTGAAGAGGATTTCATGGTCAACAGTGTCAAAGGCCGCACTGAGGTCTAAGAGGATCAAAATGGAGACATTACCGCTGTCCATTGCGCGCAAGAGGTCATTACTGACTCTCAAGAGAGCTGTCTCCGTGCTATGGAAATGTCTATAGGCCGACTGATTAGAACTGAGAAGAGAGTGGTCATTTAAGTAAGCAAAAAGTTGTTTTAGGACTAGTTTTTCAATAACTTTAGATAAAAATGATAAGTTAGATACAGGTCTATAGTTTTTTAAATTATTTTCATCCAGACCGGGCTTCTTAAGCAATGGTTTGATGACAGCTGATTTGCAAAGAGGCGGAACAGTGCCAGAATATAAGCTTTCATTTATTATGCGGGTTATTGTTAGGAGCAAGATATCTAATGACTCAACAAACAGGGGGGTTGGGATGGGATCCAAAGAACATGATGTATGTTTAGATTTTAGGATTATACTTTTTACCTCAAGTTCTGAAACAGGTTTAAAAATATTGAAATGTGAAGTAAGACAAGGGTAAGGAGGCAATTCAAGGGGTTAGGCATCAAGACGATCAAGCTCAGCGCGAATGCCAGCTACTTTGCTTGTAAAGAAATCACAGAAAATATCTGGTTGCTTCGGCAGGGGAAACACCGAAGGAAGCGCAGTTCCTTTGTTACTTCCCCTAAGGTGACCACAAACATCAAACAACTGCCTGCTGGTTTTACCCAGAGTTATCTTTTGGCTAAAATACGTAGTCTTGGCACGACAAACAATCTGATTGACACGCTTCTTGGCAGCGTAAAATATCTGCTTAAAAACCACTAGACCTGACCTCAACCACTTCTTTTCTGCACTACGGCGCTCTTTCTTGGCACTGCGTAGTTCCTCCTTTATGGTCGCAATCAGTGGCGTAGCTAGGTTGTTTGCCTTATGAACAAAATCATTAAATTTTTAAAATTAAAATGGGTTTAAATATTGTAATGTATTGATTTTCTGACAATTTTTTGATTTTCTTTTTGGTGGAACTTGACATAAAGTGTGTAAAAGTACATTCTATGAAACTGTAAGATGGGTTTTCATTATTTTACAATTATTTTGTATTATTGTTAACTGTAGGCAAACATGTGTTTTAGTTGAGGGCAACGAGCATGAGCCTGCTAAAATTACATCAGGGAAGGGGGCGACCCGCAGGTCGTTAACACGTCTTGCCAAATATCAGGATGGATACAATAAAGTATGTAGCTATGTATGTTCACCACGAAATTTATGAAATGGCAGAAATTTTTTCATTAAATTTTAACATTTTGGTCCCATTTTTGTTTCTCTCTGTAAAAAGTTAAACAAGCACATTCTCTCTCTTTCCCCTCCTCATTTTAGCAGACATGTGTTTTTTTTACATGGTTGCCAAGGTGGCAGCCATCAGAAATCTCATGGCCAGATAGCATATATTTACCAATTTTTAAAAAGACATTTCCATTTATTTAGATCAGGAAAGGAGAATATCTACTTATATTTATATATAAATTATAGGTAGCTTATAACTTATATATAAATTATAAACAATAAAAATTACTCAATAATTACTTCAAAATCAAATGGTTAGTTTGAAGTTTAATATTATTTTAATTAATAATATTTTAATGATTATAAATTTGATAAAGGCAGAGAGTTCACAATAAAATCTCTAGAAGTTCTAAGTCTAAGTCTAATAAAATTAAATAAAATATATAGTCCGATAGATAGGCCTGCCTAATGGATTCCCGTCCGATTAGAATTAGACTTAGAGGTAATCACCGGTAATGGCATTCAGTACCTAGTCTAGGTCTATCTCCTTTTGTCTTACCCTCCTTTTTTAGTACGAGTAGTTGGCATTTGGCATAGCACTGAGTAGGCTACTGACTATGATAGTACGATTATGTGTTACGAGTTAGTATAATAATTTTTCTGAGTCCATCAAATTTCGTATATTTTGATACAGAAGATTTCAGCAAAATAAAAATAGAAATTTAATCAAATGCCGGTTTGTATTTAAAATCTTTTCATTGTACAACGAAGTATTTCTGTGCCAATGCCATTGATAATACAAAAATGGATTATACGCTGTGCAAATGAATATGACTATACATATGAATAATATTTTAAAATCACCATCTTACTTACTAAATAATGTTTATAAATAATTAAATAAAATTTCAAAATTTAAGACGAAATATTAATAATATTATTAATAAACAATCTGTATTTACGTTATAAATTAAACATATTCATGTCCATCATCATGATTACTAAATACTCATTTTATTTAAAACTAAAACTATTTTCATTATTAATATTGTTTTAAATTTGATACAGAAAATTCATTCTCTCTTTAGAAGAAGTTGCATTTATTTGGAACAAATTTTGACCTTAAAATTGGTTTCATGAAAGTCACGAGAGACAACTCTGTCATTTCATTAATAATTTGACTATAGTCGACTTAGCCTATGTAATATTTTCTCACAATAAGCCATCCGTCACACAGATCTATTACAAGTGTATTAATCAACGTCAAGGATACCTTATGATTTATTAAAATTAAGGCATAAAAATAAATATAAATACATAATTAAGTTTGCCACCATTTCTTCCGATTTTTACTGAACAACGGAACTCCCCAACTAAGTCCTCGCCCCAGCCGGCCCGGCTCAGTGAACTCAAAAATTGATAATTGATCTCAAAATCTGATACAATTTCAATATTCATATTCAGTTATATTTATACAAAATTTTAGTAATACTATCCTACTATCCATACACTCATATTATTCACACAATAAACATAGTTACATAGCTACAGTATGTTACAGTGAGTGTGAGGGATCATTCACTTATAATTATACTATTTAATTTTTATTAAAAAAATTGGTAAATGTTGACAATTGGTGCCATGATGTTAGTATCACACAGCTTACATTTTGGTTGCCACGACCCGTGAACTTTAAAAATTCACCGTCACTAAACCTAACCTGAAACTTAAACGTACTGAACCCTAAATTAGTATGCATCCCTAAATTTAAATGTAACCTGAACCCTAAATGATATTGATATGTATGCCCAATGGCACCAATTCTCTGCTTATATAATAATATAAATTAGTGTAGTATAAAAGATAATACATGGCCTTTTGATGTTTTTTTTCTCTTAATCACTAAAGTTTAGTAATTGTATAAGTATAATAGCCCTACTATAATTATAATAGTTTATTAATAGCCCTACAAAAATACAAGACTAAGACTCTTCTTAAACTATAAATTGATATTCATAGAAGATGAATCAATAATCAATATAACTGTTTTGTGCAATAAATAAAAGTTGGGTTTAAGAGAATTCTTCACTCAATGTTCATTAAAACCAAATGAATTAAATATAAATACCAATAAAGGTAAGGGGTAATAAGGGGAGAGACTGCAATCAGGTTAGTACAAAATATAATGAGTAAAACAGAGTAGGGTTAAACCTGAAAAAATAAACGCAACAAAACAGCGAACGTGTCGGCAGAAAGCCTTCGTCAGCGAACAAAACAACAGAAAAAAACGGTATAAAAATAAAAATAAGAAATAGTACTTCCGTCCCGTCTTCAAACACTTCAATAGTGGTGACCACCAGGGCAAGGCGGACTTTTCGATAAGTGCGATTGTGGCTAGCACGAGCACCGCCAGCCGGGTCAATTTGGAACACAGACTTATCCTGACTTACGGCACTTTGACATCAGATGGGATTAATGTTATGTCTCTGTTCACAGCTTGACCCTAGCTCCGCCCCTCCACGTTGTGACCTATCACAGTAAACTTTTCTCTCCCGCTTTTTTTCGCCGCTGCATATTTAAACTCTCACTCTTTTTCCTTCTGCCACACTTCTATTTCTGCCCACAGATACTAATTACCAGCTAGTACTATTTCTTATTTTTATTTTTATACCGTTTTTTTCTGTTGTTTTGTTCGCTGACGAAGGCTTTCTGCCGACACGTTCGCTGTTTTGTTGCGTTTATTTTTTCAGGTTTAACCCTACTCTGTTTTACTCAATAAAGGTAAACCATGTAGATATTTTAGAATTTTCCAACACACTAAGACTGAACTAATGATAATAATATATTAGTAATTATTATTACTTTTCAGGTTTTTTTACACTTGTCTACTCTACTATTTGGACCTTAATTATATGCATTTAACAATTTTAACATAATAATAAAGATGTTCCAGACAAACTTAAAAAAACAACAGGATCTGATCATCATGCTTATTTAATGCATAAAATAAATAAGATGGAAGAAGTTGAAGAGTTAGAGGAAAATGAGCTTTTGGGGGGTCAAGAAGAAAGTTGCCATAGGAAGAATGACATAGATGAAACAGCTGAAGATTTGATGACTGACATGAGACTAGAAGATGAAATAGATGAAGTGAGAGCCATTGAACCAGGTTTGTATTTTTTATCAAATAGACCACTATATGCACTCAATCAAAGTTAATTTTAATTTTAAAATCTTTTTAAACTAAAAATCTCATTCTTTTTTAACACATCCACCTTTTCTCTATTTTTACATCTTAGACTTAGATTGGTGTGTTCAAATTATTTTGACAGCTAATGTAGAAATATGAAATAATTATTGTTCTTTGAATCTGCACATCTATAGATTTTAATTGGACATATCACATTGAAGTCTACCCATGGAATGCTGATGACATGACAGAAAACTTTGTTAGAATTATCAAGCTTGCACAGTTTTCACAGATTTACATGCGAAAAAAGGGAGTAGGGAAAGAAACTGATGACTCAGAGAAAATAGATGATAAACTGCCAGCAAGACAAAGAAAAGGGTAAACATAATTGGACTCAATCAAGCTTTTAAAATAGTTTTGAAAAGCACAAATGATGATAGAGTTTGAGTTTGGGTGCAAAAAAACACCTAACAATTGAAGCCTTATTTTAAGCAGACAAAAAGGACAAAAAGCTGAACCATTTTGACAATCAAGTGATTAGTTAAATGTCATTAATAAGACATAAGTAAAATAAAACTACAAATAATTTGAATTTAACAAATTTAGGCCTAAACAAAAAATTAATAATTTGTTAATTTCATCAACTTTTAAGCTGTTCAGGTAGCTGGGTAGCACAGTTAGCTAGTTTCCAAATGTCAAAAAAAATCCAAATGCATGCCAAAGTCAGATGTCCTGGGTACAAATGATGGTACAATAAAAAAAATGCTGTCATTATATTGTACCAGAAAAAAAAGTTAGAGATATTGAAACAACTTTTCAAGTGCGCTAAGCAACATTTGGGTTCACAAAAACACAATGTGCGCAAATATTAAGGGAGAACTTTCATAATATTAAAATAATAAACTAGACGTAGCCTAACAAGGCACCAGACTTTCAGATAGAAATTAAAAAAAAAAAACACCTAAGACTAGTGCAAAAAGAACTTAAAGGCAGAAACATTTTTTTAACTAAATCTGTATTGAGGTATAAATAGCTATGTTTTAGATTAGGCATGTCAAACTGAGGGTCCGCCAGGGCCATAATATGGGTCACATTTGTGTTGTCATGAGGGCCACATATGAAAAATAACTGAGGTCATTTAGTACAAATTATTGCAGAATATTTTTATTACTTAAACTTAGAAACATACTATGCTCATGCAAAAAGGTTTAGCCACTACCCACATTCATGAATGCAAAGTAATGAAGTAGTTAAACAAAAGAAGAAAACATTTTTAATGGTAAAATAGACTTTTATGCAACAGCAACATATACATCGTTTTTTTTTCCCTGAGGCTTGACACCTGTTTTTAATGACAATTTTTGGTATATCTGTGCAGTTCTGACTTTGATCAGGGATGACTAGTGTTGATCATTCAGCCTTGTTCTCTAAGAGTTTTTGTTTATTTCATGAAAGAAAATTTTTCATATGCATAGGGAGAACTGAACATTGCCGAAATCCTTTTAGTCAACTTTCTAAAAGGTGATTAGGCTATTTCTAAGTTTAAAACATTCTGAAACAAAAAAAAAAGAGCATGCCATTTTTCTGTGAAGGACGTGTGTTTATCCAGTTTAAATTATAAAAATTGCAATTTAGGCAGTTAAATGACAAATTTACGGTATCCTTTGTGCAGGCACATATTTGACATACCTGTTTTAGATACCTAATCTTAATTGTTGTCATATAATTGTTCTAATTATTTTTAAAAAAATTTTAAATATTATTTTAAAAGCCACACAAATGATATTTCTGAAAATGAAAAAGTATATAAAATTCACGAAAACCTGAAAAATATAAAAATCTAGCTAAATCTGGTATTACATGCATTAAGAAGCTACAGGTGTTAAGGGCATAATTAAAACCTTGCTCTCTCCATAGATGCTTGCATTTATATACAGATACAAGTCAAAATGCCAAAAATATAATGAGGAGTGCTACATGGAAAACAATGACAGCCAAAGAGCTCACATTTGAAATCACCAAGCGAGGGCCAAATGATGGAGAAACTGAGTCAGGTAAAGTCCTGTCATTTTATCAACAGTGTTGTTAAGTTGGGAGGAAGCTTGTATCTTAAGCAAAAGCCCATTTACACAACAAAAAAAAAAAATTATTAAAAAAAAATAAAAATCTATCTATAATATCATTTATAATGTTTTCTAACCCATCAATAGATTACATTTAATATACACATTTTTGTTGGTTGCACTATTACCAAGTTTGATCAAAGATAATATTTCAAAACATTGCTCAACTGAAAGTATTGTGGGTTAAAAAAAAATATATTTCATTTACAACAAAAATACTATATTTTCAACAAATTTTGATTCATTTCTTCTTTTAATCTTATGTTCAGCATATTTGGAACTTGACACATACTCAGCAAGCAAGTCTCGATTTAGGGACAAGCCCAAAGGTATGTCTTTGATCAGTTCAGTGTTAGCATCAGAGACACATCTATGGTCTCTCTGTGATAAATTTATTTGTTGACATTAGAGACACATGAAAGGTTTGCTTGTGACAACATGATTGATTCCAAGCTGTGTCACTTTTCCATTGACACTTTTTTTTTTTATCAAATTATTTGTTCACTATGTTCAACCCTTGTTGGGCATAGAGTTAACATTATTTGGCTGAGAACTTATGCCATCTTTAATTAGAAATCTAAACCTCTAACCAACATTTGGCATGAATCAAAAGTTTTTTTTAAGGATAAAAATATAAGGAGGCAAAAAATCAGCATTATACTTCTTCAATTAAATGTGATGTCAGCATTTCTGATGTCTTATTGTAGACTCAAATTCTTACATATAATTAACTCAATTTTTCTTCTAATTAATCGAAGTGACCTCAAAAATATGTGTTAAGACAAACAAGTTATGAGTTTCAAATTATTGAAGCTCAGTTTTAATGTTTTCTGTGTAAATTTTAATTAACATATTTTAACAGGTCTTCAGTTTTAATGAAGATTCTTAAAAAGATGTTAAATAAAAAAAAAAAAATTTGACCAACAAAAGATAAGTGCTTAAAATGTAAAATTTTAGGTACAGTACCATCATCCACTGTAAAAGCATTGATAGCAAGGCTCCTGATATCTTGCTTTAATGGTTTGTTCTGAATGATGCAATGGTTTCATTGTTGTGAATGTTAAATTGTCACAACCACATGTTGGGTTGTGGGGTGCATTTCAGGAGAATTAAAGGATCGCTCTGCTAAAGTATCCAACCTCCCGGGAACTATTTCTCGGGAATTCCTAGACGTGGTGTTCAGTCGAGCTTATGCTGTGATTGGGGGCACCACGGTCAGGGAATACTTGAAAGAAAAAGAAGGCAGACTACATGAGAAGCTTCATGAATTGAAAGATTTTAATGGGTAAGGACCAACAAGTAACTTTTTCTTATTCAATATTGTGTAGAATTTAAACAGTATCACACTGACTTATTGTGTAGAATTCAAACAGTATCACACAGACTTATTGTGTAGAATTCAAACAATATCACAATGACTTATTGTGTAGAATTCAAAGGATATCACGCTGACTTATCAGATGTAGTAACTATGTTTAGAAAAAAAGTACTAAAATAAATAAAGGGATTCTAATTGTTTGTCATGTCTTGTAAAAAGCTAGTCACTGAATTTCTATTACACTGTTATACAATGTGTATAATAGAGTCTACTTTATTTAGTTAATGGTTAATGGAGACAGCCATTTCAGTAGGTCCAATCTAAGAAATTTAAATACAATAAAATTGAATGGACAGTGCTTTGTTTGGGACAAAAAGCCAGTTTACCAGGACCATGTTTCACTGATAGTTGTAAATCAAAAGAAAATCTTTAAAAAATTTTGAAATGCTGTTCTAATTTCATTCTGATTTTAAGTTATCAAAGTTCGATGTGTAAAACACAGTGGATAACAAAACCCACATCTATTTGAAAATCCAAATATTTTGGGGGTACATAGATGGTAGTGTACCATAGTGCTTCAATAAAATACATAATTTTAGGACCCACTAGCTTTAAAATATTTGCAAAAATTACCACCATATAACACTGAACGTAACTACATGTGACAATTCACCCCTGCTATACATCACCATTCACATATAAACACAACAATACACCACTATCAACAACTAAACACTATAATACACATCACCATACACATCTTAACACTACAATGCATCACCTTACACATATAAGCACTACAATACATTACCTTACACATATAAACACTACAAAACACCACTATATGCATCATTATTTATTAACTGTGTTTTGGTCAGTGATGTTGGAAGAAATGGATTGGCTACGTCTGAAGTAGCTTTTGTCAAACAAAATTACTGAATATCTTATTTGTATGAAAAATTGATGAGAGTTTGTCTCACTTTAAAAAAAAAAATTTGTTTAAAAATTATTTGTAATTGATAAAGACATTTTGATATAATTATGTTCAAACATTTCAGGAGCCTAGACTTTGACTGCCTGGGGAGAGGGAGCTGCAGAGCTTTTGTTCTTGCCCACAAAAATGTTTACATTGGAAGCCAGAGAATCTCCATAGAAGCCAATGATAAAGAGACCATGGGTAAGTGACCTAGTCTTTTGATCTTTAACGTAAAACAAGGCATATTTTTAAAATAAAAATGTTATTAAAGTATTAGATGAGATATGTTAACTAAAACTTTCCTACTATTAGAAAATTATTTATGATGAAATCTTTACTTCCAGTTATGATTTTATACAGTTTTGAAAAAAAAATTCATGATCTCATTTACATACATTTCTCTCTTTTTTTTTTTTGAACCAATGAATTTGATTTAGTTATCACTTATCATGTCCATTGATACTTTATTGAACAGTCCATTCTTATGTGTAACTTTCTTAGCCATGCATTTTTTTTCTTCTTTCTATAGTTGTGCCTCCCTTCACTCACGGTGAGAAAAAGATTTAATTAACATAATTTATGAGATTTATATTTTTTTCACTAACATGACAATTGTTGAATTTGCTGGCGCCGTTTGTAATTTTTTTGTTGCTATAATAAATAAATGTTTAAAATGCAACTCTAGCAATTTATTAATTCACAACCACTTTATTTGAGAACATTTTGGATATGTTACTGCTTGCACTATTTATAGTTGAATTTATAGTCACATTTCCACCTTAGGCTACTTGTAACTTATACTTTTATTTTAATCAGACGCTGGGGCTGTCAAGAAGATTGAAAAAGATGGCATAGCTAGTGTCAGCCAGCCGGGTAGAGGCAGAGGAACAATGCCTGTAAGAGGTACCCCTTTTCCAGCCAGAGGACTGAGGACCGGTTTTAACTCTAGTGGCCGGGGATTTAGTAAGGATATGCCTATAAATGCTGGCAGAGGTCGGGGGATAGGTCGAGCCATGATGCCCCAACAAAGACCTGCTACTGCTCCTTTTACAGTAAGACAAGTCATGTAAAAATTATGTCTTCATTTGCAACTGAACTACGGCAGATTTTGTTAAATAAATTGTTAACTTTATTTTTTTTTACCTCTAATCAACTGGACATGATGTTCATATGGATAATCAAGATGATAAATGGATAAATTATAAATGTACCCTAAAAAAGTTGACAATGATATTTTTTTTATAAGTAACAAATTGCACACTTCACTTATTAATAGTTATATTTTTTGTATTTGCTCATATTGCATTCCTATCTTTAATAGAGGCCTGGGCCCGGCATGCCAATCCCTATGACAGGAAGACAGAAGATGAATGAAAAAATGAGACGTAGCAATTTTGGTATGGCTCCTGGAAGCAACAGCCTGTTTTCCATGCCAGGAAATGTATTAGGTACCCGGTAAGTGAAATGGGATTAATGTTATTCCAGAATGAAAATAACAAATCAAAGCCGCGCATTTTAATACAGTTTGTGGCGCCTCATTTGTCAGCTGAAATTGGTTACAATCAGATAAATTTATATGTGGAAAACCTGAGATAAAAAAACACCAAAAACTGAACTTGAAAGACAGTGGACCCATTTGGCATGGCAGGAAAATCTATGCAACGTTGACTTTAAGTGGGTTATCCTTAAACTTTAAAATTGAAAGAAATAGGATCAATCTTAAAACATGTCCCATTAAAAATCATGGCACGTTTATCCTGGAATATGCAAAGGAAAAAAAATAATAATAAAATCATTTGTCAAAACTGAAGTGAAACTGAAAATATATATATATATATCTATATTTTTTAAAATTTTAGCGGAGCTGCTATAAATTCTGTAGGGGATTCTTTTAAACAAGAAATCGCTTCTCTGCAAAATCAGCTTGAGAGGAGCACTCAGGTCTTGGAAGCCAAGATTGCCATGTTGCAACAGACTACACAAAGTGCTGCATTCTATGACGAGGACGTCAACGTTTTTGAACCAGGGTAATTTAAATGGGACTTAACTCATTCCTGGAGGTTGCGACTGTGTGTCCTGGGGGGTGGGTTCCAATGGATGCGTCCCAGCATTTTTAATTTGAAATAGAGGTGAAATCCTGTGTCCCTCGAAACTTCCTGCCATGGCGTGATTCTGCATGATTTCCATGTTAAAAAAAACAGATGTTTTTATCTTGTTTCACTTTCAATCAATGCTTGCTTTAGCACAGCGTGTCTAAAGTAGATACTTTGGTCATCATGTTTGCTGTTAATGTTAAATTTTTTTTATTAAACCTTATTTGTTTTTGGATGGATTGAGTCTCAATTCATTATTTTACTTGTGTATTTCAATGACAAATGGAGTTACTTACCTTTGTTCTGAAATATAAATTAAGTACAGATGTAGTAAAAATGGGGATTAAACTGAACTCAAACTGAACACATTAAACTTGAACCCTGCTGACGACCGAACTTGAACAGATCCCTAAACGTCTATGTCACTGAGTATGAACATTCTATCGCAAACTTATTCAAAAGGACACTGTTTTAAGAATGTGGCACATTAATACTTACGCCAGAAATGCTTTTAACTAAAAAATTAAAGCGCAAAAAGATATTTTGTAAACCAAAATGATATTTTTAAAATCTTCTCCTACCCAACTCACTCCCCCCTTTAATGTTTGTATTAATTTGTGACAAATTAAACAATGAAACTATCTGGCTGACTCGTTTTCATCCATTGCCAGAAACTCTTTCAAACACAAACCAAATTAGCTACTGGTAGGCCTATTTATTTACCTATCAAACAAATTGTGTACAGTTGACAACACCTAGAAGATGTGAGATAATGCATGGGTGGAGAGGGGACAAAATGGCACGGTAGTATGTTGATCCTATAGGCAGTGACACATATGAAAAAAAAAAGGGGGGGGGGGGTTACCCAGTGTGGCAATTTTTTTATTATATCGAAAGGTAGAAGGGCAGCATTTTTGGCAAACTGCAGAGGTTTTATCAAAGAATGGGGCGTCAAAAAAGGATAGATATTTAATAATAAACTATTCCATAAGTATAAACACAAAAACCCAATAAAAATGTATGTTTCCATATTTTCATTTAAGTTTAGTGACACACGTTTATTTATAGCTATATAAATCCCAGTGTGCTATGATAAATTAAGAAAATAAAATTCTTTTCTTTTTTGGTGAATTTCTATATAAACCCTTTCATTTATAAAAAATGTAATATATATTTATTTTATTAAATTAAAACCAAATTAATTTCAAATTATTGAGCGCGCCGAGTGGCAGTGGTTGCCGATCCCAATATTTAGTTGTTACTGGAAGTATCACTCCTTTGGGAATGAGTTAAGATAAATTGAAGATGAGTTGACTGAAAATAAGCGATAATCCTTGTTTTAAAACAAGTTCTTCTATTATAGATGCGTATTTCTGTATCATAAGATTTATTTTTTTGTTTACTTGCTTCATCCAGGGACTGGGGAGATGCTGAGTATAACACTGGCTACAGTCACGAAAACTATTCTGTGGACAACGGTCGCTATGGCAATGACAACCTGATGAGTTTTCACTTTAATAATGCCACTTCTATCAGGCCCAGAAGATCTTTGGCAGGAGCCTATGCTGGATCAGAACCCAATATGGGACAGGTGACAGGGCACAAACCTCAAATGGGACCCTCTAGAGGTTCTCCAAGTATGAGAAGGGGAGAATCAAGGGGCGGGGTGAGGAGAGGAAGAGGCCAGATGAGAGGAAATTCACAAACCTATTGGTGATGCTGGTGTCGCTGGTTCGCTAATGTATTTGTTTTATTGCTAAACGTGCTGAAATGTGGTAGGTCACATTGTTTCATGTTTTTCAAAATGTTATTTTACTTTTAGCTCGCTCTGATCACAAAATAGCAATTTTTCCTGGTATGATCTACATAATTTGTGTTCATGTAATGAAACTATCTTGTCTACTTGAAAGAAAGCTGTGACTGGGTTTTCTTGGAAGCTAATTGTTATTTCCTATTCCTCCTTTTCCCCATCTACCCGTCTAATAATTGCTTTGCTTTTTTTAAAAACATTTTCAATGAATTTGTTCTTACACACAAATTGTATTATTGTATGAATACCAAATTGTATAGAGAGAATAATAAAATTCAAAAATGGTTATCAACTGAAATGAGCAGTTACTTTGTCATAATTAAAAAAAAAAATAGATCATTACATCGTGAAATGTATTATTATATGTTAAAAGATTTATGAGTCATTGAGTCAAAAGTAAAATCCTGACACAAAACTTTATATAAAAAATGGTAAGAAGGATGCACATGCCAAATAGTGTTTGTTAATTTTATTTAATTTGCATATTTAACATGGACAATAACAGATTTGGGTAAGCTGTGTTCAGATAACAACACATTTGAATATACACTGTAAATTTTGCCGATGCCACTTTGCAATATATGGGCTAACCTTTTCCCCTCAGAGAATTTAATTTGGATCTCATAAAATCCAAAATATATTCCTGGAATAGAAAATGTTTTCCCTCACATACTATAAGCAGCATAGTTCAAAATATGTAAGGCTATTGCTTTACGCAATGGTCAAATGTTCAGTAAAAAGAAGTTGTTGTTATGCTTTAGTGACAGCTTGGCAGGCCTCTTGACAAATAGGATCCAATTCACCATCTCCACCTGAAATGGTACCGGTACACAAAATGTATGTTTGCATAATTTATTTCCAACAATATACATTTCATGCTTAGTGAGCATAGGTATATTAAATATCCAAAATATGGGACACATATTTGCAATACATTTGTAGCACCCTGATACAACACAATTTAAATTTTTCTTCCTCTTGTCTTCAATATAATTTGAAGAAAACAAGTATTTTGACTGTTGTCAGTGCAATGTCACATAACATTTCTCTTGTAACTTCGTTTAATTATATTACAAATAAGTACCATAGTCCAGTTTCCTTATGTCACATGTAAAAACTTTTTCCCCATTGACCCAAAGCTCCACCACATTCCAGTCCTTAAATGGCCTCAGCTCCACTGTATGTCCAGCATTTGTTAATATGGCTGCAAGAAAAACAAATGAAATAATCAATAAAAAAAACCATTAAAAACTAATTAGAATCTAGTCTTGTGAATTGTGAGTCTAGTTAGTTTAACTTGGCTTTAAAGATTGTAAATGAACAATGCAAAACCATAGTGAAATGAAAAATAGTGATATAATGAAGGTAATATCTGTCAAAATAAAATTTCATCAAGAGTCTTCACTAAAAGAAAAATTACTTTTTAGTCCTCTGAGTCTAGATTGCCTATATTCCACAGTTCCGGCTGCTTCATAAGGTCCATAATATAAGAAGACTTTAGCATATTTTGGCATTGTCATTCACATCAAAGGAATAAACCTGAAGCAAAACATTGATTAGTATAAAATAAATCCTTGTTTTATCTTGTTGGAGTTGAACAGGAAAAAAAAAATTCTTTTTAAAACTTTTAACCACTTCATTACTGAAGACGTCTACGCGACGACGTCTACGCGACGACGTCGACGCGACGTCATGGTCACCCACTTTTAAATACCAAGGACGTCACATCGTCGTCATAACAAAAATTTAAGAACTTTTCTGAAATACCAAGGAAGTCACGTCGATGTCAAATTTCAATGCTATATATTTCCTTATTCGTTAATCTATAGAGAGGTTAAAAAGCGAATCGGATAGAGAATGAAATATACTGAAAATTTAATTTTTTTTTTTTTATATATATATTATAATTATATTTTTTTGCTGAGTCAGCAAAAATTGTTGGTCAAAACCCTGCGGTAATGAAGTGGTTGAAAAAGACTTTATTTCAAAGACAAGTTTAATCGCACTAAAAAGTAGAACACTTCTTACAATTCATAAAGCAAAAGTACTGGTATATGCAGAATGAGACGTAAGGCTTTTTATGAAGAAAGTATTTGCAGAAGGGTAGTAAGGCACTCTATGAAGCCAAAGAAAATTTGTGCAGAAGCATAGTAAGTACTCTATTAAAAGTATTCCAATTAAATGTAGAAGAAACTAAAATTAAATGAATTTTTAAAAATTTTACGAACAATATTTTCTACTTTTTAGTGTGCTTAAACTTGTCTTTAAGAAAGTATTTCTTTATTATTTTAAATTTTAAGTTTTTTTTTCTCCATTTTTTACTATTTTTAGTATGAAAATTTGAATCTGTAATCTCTGTTTCATCAACTCAGGCTACCTTTCAGGTCAGCATGAGGAAGACTCAATCGACTGAATGAAAGTGTCAGATGTGGAAACAAAACAATTATGCTCCACAAGATAGAAATGCAAGTAGATAGAAAACCTTTAAAAAGTAGATAGTTTTCAGATGAATTTTGAATATTATTTCATCGAAAAATCTCTGGCAATAGCAGAAAATTGGATGGTCATTCCTGACATTTGATCACCTATTTACAGATGCACATCCTTTTTCTCAAAATGAATTAGGCAATCAAAGGCTTTTAAATTTTGCTTGACTAAAATCGCTAAACCAGCACAATAATTGTCAATTACAACTGTGGTATCTTCATGAGTGTAAAATCTCTATTTGTTTATTTCTATTAAATTGTTTTGAAATACCTTTTTGAATAATTACAACTGCATCTTACTTATCTATTTATTTTCAAATTCAATAAAATCCTTCCAAAATTCTTGCTCTCTTGTTCTCACTCTCTCTCTTATCATCAATAAACGTTATTTATCTTGGTAAAAACTTGTCACTAATAAGCAGCATTTAATTTTTTTTTTAATCTTGTGAATTAAATTTTTGCTTCCCAACACCGCTAATTATGTTCTTTCACAATGTTCACACCTTCTATTACAGCCTATGACAATGGTTTGAAATTTGCTAATAAAGCATTCGGAAGTTGAAAAACAAATACTTCAAAAATAATGGAGGCTTAACTTAATAAATTAAATAGCATGAGGCTACCAAATAAACTAGCACAACTGCTACTCTTGTTCCAGGTCAAGACCCTAATACTTACAGGTAAAAGGCTTGATTTGTGTATATATTTTATACACTAAGAACTGCAAATGCTCCTGAAGAGAAATAATAAAACTTTATACTTAAATAATTACAATTACAGATGATAATTTAACTACATCCATAGATCACACTGTATACTCAACAGATATAAAATGTGAAGAAAAAAGTTGGTATTTTAATTTTAACTGTACAACAATGAGCAAAGACATGATAAATGTGATGTCCTCAAACAAAATTGTCAAGTTCTTTAAAATGAGACTTGATGATTATGAGTAAACAAAGTAAATAAATGAAGTCAAGCTTAAGTTTTAATCAGGTGCTATGATTTTTTTGGACCAGTGTTGGATAAAATTATGTTAACTATCAAATGAATTAAGGATAGGTCCTTTGTGATGTGTTCCCCTTCATCCCTCCACCCCAATCATTCTGCACCACCTACCACCCCTCCCATTCAACCCCTCCAAAAGCACCTTCTGTATTATCTTTCTCAACTCCCCTTATCCCTTTTCACCCACAACCTACCTCACTTAAAGTTTTTCTTGGGTAATTTGTATATAATAAATTAAATATTCACTATGCCAAACAGTCGGCAAAATATGAAAAGGGGTACTTAAACTTGAGACATACATTTTTACAAAGATTATGGTAATTTTATAATTAGTTTTTTACTATTTGTTTCAAATATAAACACATGTTGTGCAACTATGGTTTAAACCAGGTTTAAGGGTCATCCATAAATGATATCACACATCTAGATGGGGATTTCACAAATTTATGACAAGGGTGTCTAAGCAGTAATTTTATGTAATGATTTGTGACAGTGTGATAAAATGAAACAAATATGAGAAATCAATTATGTATGGATAAGTGATTAGACTTCTTTTTTTTACAATGTAAAATCAGAGTTAATTATTTTTTAATATATTTTTTAGTTTAGGCCTACATGATGTTTCTCTTGATTACTTTATTTATTAGGCCTAAGGAAAGGCTATAACTATAATAGCAAAAGTGATATAAGCAATATTATTCAATATAAAATCTTTACCAATTAGAATTAAACTTAAGAAAGAAGGAGCTGGCTTAGGCTTAATTTATACTCTCATATGTAGGCCTACTACATGTCATGACTATACTGTACTATTTATAGTCTATACTATCAAAATCAAAGTTTTATACTGACTATAACTATAGTTAGTAATCAGTACTGTAGTATAGTATAGTCTAAGTATAGGCCTACTAAAACTAAGTTATGTAATAATATGTATATTAAATTATTATGTTTATAATTATATTACAATTATAATATATTATGAAAAATAAAGTTGGTTAATTTAGTTAAATCATTTTCAATATTTTTATTCAATTTATTATTTATTAGTTTAATAATATTATTAGATTTAGTTAGACTTACGCTTACACTAGACCAGGGGTCAGGAACCTATGACTCACGAGCCAGATGTGGCACTCTATTGATGGCTGTATCTGGCTCGCAGATAAATGTTTGATATTTTAAAAAAATGTTTCTTTAGACTCCTTTGATCTACATATTAATTGAATTGCATAACAACATTTCATACTACAACAACTGAGCTAAACTCAAGTCAAAGTCTACTGCAGCTCAGCATCAGAAGTGGATTTTTAGTTTTAAACGTAATGTATGGCTCTCATAGAATTACTTTTCAAAATATGTGGTGTCCATGGCTCTCTCAGACTAAAAGGTTCCCGACCCTTGCACTAGACTATACTATCTCTACTAACATTAACACCACTATTTAATTAAAGAAAATAATTTCTTTCTTTAATCTTATGTCTATGAAGTCTATGTCTTACTATAATGTATTTAGTTTATAATGAATCAAAATAGTACTTCAATTTTGTAGATCTCTAACTGATTTACACATTTTTCCCCCTTGCACTTGTATGGACCAAGTTTAACAGCAACTGCAACAAAATCAAATGTCTTCAACTCGGGATTTAAATTACACGGAAGTGTATCTAAGAGACGCGTTATAGGAACGAAGAAATTGGTTTTCAATTAGCTATAAGTACGTTAACAGTGCGTGAAAAGAGTGGTAAATACATAGCCTAATGTTATTTATTATATTCTTTACTTTAAAATGCTTATTAAAATAATAAAAATACATATATGTTTAATCTAGCTCAAATAAGTAGTGAATAAATAGTAATTATATCTTAAAATGTTTTTTCATCCTCAAAATGTGTGTGGTAATCTTAAAATATTGGCTTCACTTACACTTACAGATTACTAAAAGCGTCTGAAATCGAGCAAAGGCCAAAGGGCTAAGCACATTGACATTGATATTTAACTCCATTTAATTGCCTATAATACCGTGTTTTAGTGACTTATTGCATGAAAAGAAAACAGCCTAACATTTTGCAATGGAACAACAATGTTACAACAAGACTCCGAACAAGCCATGAGGACCACTTTAAAAAAAACGGGGAGGGGAATAGGTGAAACAAAGAAAGAAATTCAGTTCTTTTCAAGGGTGCAAAATGCACCCACCCTTACACATCTGAATGTAGCCCTAAGGGATATTTTCCAAAGCTTGTGGCAGTCTCTATCGCAGTAGTAATGAAAAGCTGCACCCAGGGAAGAGCCTGAATTGAGGCCCCCTCTTCTGAATAAAAAGTATGTATTAAAGCACATATATTATTTTAAAATTATGATTTTGGAGCCCTTTGAAGATGGCACCTGGGCAGGTGCCACCTTCTCTACCCTTCTTGCGGCCGTGGTAGCACCATTGCAACTAATTTTACTTTTTAATAAAATATGAGGCCCAAACATTTTAAAATTGAAACAAATTTAATGAGCTAATATATCATGAGCAGATGAAGAAAAGGGTGAGATAATTAATAGAATTTGAGCCAGGCACATTTATAACACGCCACACGCAAATATGACATTTTTGACCCACCCCTACCCTTTATAACGTTAGATAACGTACCCATTGGGACCCCCCCCCCCCTTTCCCATATAGTAAAATAATTTTAGCTAGCCCCGGTCCCCCTTTGTTGGGTTAAAACTTGGTACAAATTTTTATGGTAAAATAAATGTTTATTAAAAGAAGAAAAGGGTGAGATAATTAATAGAATTTGAGCCAGGCACATTTATAACACGCCACACGCAAATATGACATTTTTGACCCCCCCCTACCCTTTATAACGTTAGATAACGTACCCATTGGGACCCCCCCCCCCTTTCCCATATAGTAAAATAATTTTAGCTAGCCCCGGTCCCCCTTTGTTGGGTTAAAACTTGGTACAAATTTTTATGGTAAAATAAATGTTTATTAAACATAGCTTACTGTACTGGAAGACCTCAGGAGAGTTGTATATGGAATAGAAAGAACTAATATCGTACCATTTAAACAATACAAAAAAAAAGTTAATTTCAAGAAAAAAAAACAACATAAATTATTTCTTTAAAAAATGTGATATATTTAATTATTTGTAATAATAAACTACAATTAAGTTGTTTTTTTAAATATAACTTAGGCGAATTAAAATTTTAATGAATTTGAATATCAGAAAAAAGAATTTTAAAAATAATTAAAAAACAACAAATAAAAAGAATTGTTATATGATATTGCTCTCTACCCAACCAATAGCCTATAACACAACATAACAAAAGGATAAAACACCCCTCCCTTTTACACATTATGTAATATGTGCATGGTCCATAATTTAATACTTCCCTCTTATATGTTCTATATTTTTAGGGCCCATGATCATGGTTTTGATTATGCTGGATCCTATAATGATGCAATGATGGTTTAAAACAAAATTATCTGTAAATTTATGTTGCTGTTATGTTTTTTAAAATAATCAATAATCTATCATTAATATTTGTATCTGTTTAAAATGTTTTAATGATCAAATATTATTATTTATATTTGAATTTAATTTATTTTCAAGTAGAGTTCATTTTTCGTCTTAATTTGGCTTTTAAAAATATCCTTTAAATGATATAAAAAATGAAGATAAATGGGGAGGTTAAAAGGTCATTTAAATGCTGAATGTCAAGATGGCAGCAACAGTAACAAAAACAATGCACTGTTTTCGCCACTTTCAACTATATAATTTGAACTATCCAAGGATTTTAATCAAGTACGCAATGGTCTATTGAAATATATTTTATCATAGCTTATGTTATAATGTGTAGGTTAATTCAAACTCAGGAACATTAATTAATTAATTGATACTAGTTGGATCGAGGTAATGAGTGAGTAATGAGAGTAATGAGTGAGCGAAACAAAGTAGTTAAAGTAGGCCTAAATTACTATACTATGTTACTATATTATATTAATGCCAGCCTATGTAACATGTAATAGTATGGGCATGGGAAAACTTGAAAAACTTGACGCAACATAACAATGAACGGACGTGTTGGAAATGTTATGAAGCTTTCTTCAGCGAACAAACACTATTAAAAAATTAAATTAACACTTAGCTGCAATGTAGTATCCAAGAGGACAGCAGGTGAGAGAGTTAAGGACAAGCAAATGGGGTGGAAGAGAGGAAAAGTAAGTCCACTGTGGAGTCAAGGTTCCATAATTCTGAATCAGTTTATTTCCAAGTTCACCAGGTTTGGCCTGTTTGTTGATGACACAATGGCCATGGTGGCAAAATGTTTTGAGCCTTTTTGGTCTCTTCTTTGAAGTGTTTTGAGGGGGACACTGCATATCTTGTACTTGTACAATATTAGGAAGCTTTTCAGTGCATCTGTTCGAGAGGCGGCGTCCAGTCTCACCTAGAAACCGGCTACCAGAAGTGAGAGGTTGGGATTAAAAAGCGTTTAAAATATTATTTTTGCGTTTTGAAATTGCATCAAATGACATAGAAATATTGATACAAGACCCCTATAAGTATATATTTTTAGAAAGGTAAATGGATGGGGATAACGTGGGACATATTGCCTACCCTGTAAACAAATTTAGCTCAGTGTCCTTGACCTTGGAGTTCTCAAGAAAAAAAAATCGAAAAAATGTCTAGCTTTCAAGTGCTCTTAACATTAGGGGTGTGCCGGATCCGTTTTTTCCAACCGGATCTGGATTTTCTTATGCGAAATCCGCCGGATTCCAGAATAATCCGGATTCCGGAATAATCCGGATTCCAGTTTCTCCCGGATTTTGGTACTATTGGTAGATATTTCGGTAAGTCAAGGTGGACTACTACTTTTTGTGTATGGGAATTCGCAATCGGCGCCAAAAAATCCGAGTTTTTAATTTTCCGATGTGTGTGTCTATTTATTATTAAATTAGTACTTTCGATATATATTTGAGTTCCGTTCCATTTGGATAAGTGTCTTACGAGAGACGCCATGTTTCTACGCGTTCGCAGCAGGTCATGCAGCTCGCTCAACCTAATTTCGCCATGGGGTTGGCCACGCCCCCCTTTTTAATGGCGGAAGTTGACGATACTTAGGAAATATTAATTTATTATCACTATTTACATCAAAATAATTGATAACTTGTGTTTCAGAATGCATTTAAAGACATTTAAACTGGAATGTTTTAATTTGAGCTTTAACAACCCGGTAGAATCCATATTATAAATGATCAGAATTTACCGTGTGCAACACGTTGTCATTGGCAACCATTCACAGCCACTTGCATAACTGTATCGTAGTACTACCTCAGAGTTTCATTCATAAGAGTTTGCCGTGTGCAAAAACTATTAAACCATTGGTCAGGGAAAGCTTTAATTAATTATTCATGTGCCAAAGTTGAAAGTTTAAACTAAGTCTAAACAGTATTTTAGTGATAAGGCAGGGAATGCGTTGCCTTATATAAACTATATAGTCATTGCGCATGACGGGATTGGTGGAATGAGATCACAGAATGTGGAGATGCAGTCCATGTTAAAAAATGACAAACCAAGTCGTACTTTAAAAATTCATAACTTTAAAACTACAACAGCTAAAAATATGATTTTGGTGTTATAATTCTTTAAAAAATTACATCTTTTCAACTATGCCATTGGTTTATTTTTACAAAAAGTTTAAATTTTCTTATCAAAGTCCCTACACTATTGGCCACTATTAGCGGTGCTGACTCTAGCCTCTGGTATGTACGGAATATTAAACATTAAACAAGCTCAACGCTCGAAACAATCGATTAATGTATCGTGATCGTGTGGAATTCGGGAAAGAGAATTACTTTTATTTCAGATTATGATCCGGTGAGTCACAAAATCTGGCAAATTTCGAAATCCGGTATATTCCGGAATCCGGTTGTTCCGGATACATGTAAATCCGGCGGAACCGGATTTCACCGGATAGTGCAAAATCCGGCGTAACCGGATTCCGGACCGGATTCCGGACCGGATTCCGGCACACCCCTACTTAACATCATTGATTTTTATAGATACACTTAAAACACAAATCTAAATGTTGTAGCCAATTCATTTATCTTTAAGAAAATGTATAGTTTGCTAAGGTTTTGATTGCAATTAAACCCCTGAAAGCAAATTTTGTAATTTAAGGTAATTTATAAAAGAAACTGGGACCACTGCTAAAACCAAGTACAAAATACAAAATCTCAGGCAAAAAGCCAAAATAGTTATGTTTGACTAGTAAATTAGTAAACATTTAAAAAGGAACTGTGGAACTGATTTGGCTTGTTTAACTATACAATTTATTAGTTTTGAACTATAATCTGTAGCTTCTGTGACTAAAATTCAGTCAGTCCTTGCCCAACCTCAGGGCCTGGCTCGAAGTTTAACAGTAGCCTCAGTAGGACTACTTCAGTATCACTAAGACTAGTATAAAATTCACCAGAAGAATAATCTTAACTGATATCGTCATTGGAAATGTTAATATCATCATCAGCATCACTTAAAACTCTCCTAAAAAGCTTTCAAACATATTTCTATTTCTACTATTGGTTCTTGCCTTGAAGGCCCAGCCATGGCTTCAACCATTTTAGCTTTAAAAAAAACAGCGATATAAAACTGTGATTAAAAAGTATTTATTTTCAAGTTATCACGAAACAGCTTGAACCAGAAGATGATTTAATTATTAATAAAAGGAAGTAGCTATAATTCCGGTTAAATATTGGTTTGGAAGTTGCTATCGGCCGAAAAAGCCACAGTACAAAACGAAAATGTCTGCCATTTTTTTCGGCCGACCACAGTTCATGGGTTAAAGGTTTTTGTGATGAATTTAACCAATGTATTGCTTCAAAAAAAAAAGGTAAATGAATATATATATGTAATTTGCAACTCTCATTTTTTTTAAAACTTACACACTAACAGTTTTTTTTCAAACTATAAACAAAAATGACTCTAATCATACCAAGAAACAATTCTTTTTTATTCATTTCAGACAAGCAGTACCAGGAGTCACTTCCATACAGAAACACAGTCGAGGACTCTCCCAATGTTCACAAAGTATACTCTCCCACAGTTCCTTCCAAGGAAATGGGCAAGGACATTTACTGAGCAGAAAAATCGTACCAAGTCACATCAAGGCAGGTCTGTGCTATGGAGAGGTGGATATTTTACAAAATATGGACTGCATAATGTTTATGTTGTTTGCACTGGTGAATTAATATGTAATTCACAACCTTAACTTGCATGTAGCCATCATTAAAAATTACAAGAGGGTAGTAGTGGCTGATGTTTTTTTTACGTGCACTTTAATAATAGAAAATGGATGGGAAGATTATCTTAGAAATGTCTTTCAGTTTAAAAAATAAATACAGGCAGGTGATTTAATTTAAAGCTGACAAATATTGAATATTTTAACTTTGAAATCACTAAACTCTTAAAAACTTCTGCTAAAGCTGCACTAATTTTGAAATCTGTTTCTTTAAAAATGTGTTGTTTCTTTTTTTTTTTTTTTTTGAAGCCATTTACTAGCTGCAGGTTTTACCTCTTAGTTGTAGCTCAAACCTGGCTTTTCAAATATTTCTTTAGTCTTGAGAACATGAGGAATGATGCATCATGAACCAGGTCGGGGGCCTTGACGTACAGCTAATGTGAGAGCACTGGGAAAATCCAGGCTTTGAATTGCAGCTCTTAAGGCTGTAATTCTATCAGTCCTGACGCTGTGGCATTGAAGAAACATTTCATTTCTTATACCTGTCTGTTTGTTCTTTTTTTTATTTGTTTATACTTAAGAGTTACAGTACAAATCTCAGAGTTTATTGTTCCATTATGTTAGAAAGTCTGCAAGGATATGTAGAGAATAATTTTTTTTTTTAAATGTCAACACAACCCTCTCAGTCAAGGCCTGAGGTTTGGAATTTTTTACAATACAGATGAAGGGTTCTGGTAGGTTATGCTGAATCCATGTACTGGCATATGTTCAACAGTTGGCAAAGCGATGCTGCCATCCTAATGGTTCCTAACAGATGCCAAGGCAGCCTTGAAGCTCTCGATTGATGGGGGAGATCATGAAACAGAACTGATAAATAAAAGACATTGCAGTGGAAGCAAAACTTATCGGCTCTGCCTTTGTAACTGAAAGCTTAGAAATGAAACCCTTTGTTTAACATCTAAAATAAATATTTCAGTCTTTCAAACTTTCATAGCTTATATATATATATATTTCATTTTCACAGTCCGCCAAATGTTTATTCAAACACAAGACACTCCCAACCCAAACAGTCTCAAGTTCATGCCGGGGGTCAAGGTTCTGGAATCAGGAACATTTGACTTCCCAAGTCCAAAATCTGCCCAGTGTTCTCCTCTGGCAAAGTAAATGAAATAATAATTATTACTGTGCTCCTTTAATTATTTTTAAAAAAATTGTGTATCTTCTTTTTGTTGTACAGTATGCGCCAAAAGTAACAGTGCTGAAACTCCAGTAACATTGACACGTACCCCTGTTAGTCAACAGAAGTGGAAGGGCAAATATGTTGGGTAGTTTTTGCTGGAAATGGGTCTCTCATAGTTGACCATAATTGTTGTTCATATGCAAGTAGTCGTAAAGGGGGGAAATTTGATTGTGCTGGAAGAGTACTGTGTCAACCAGTAAGTGTTTCAATAACTGAGTATCATGCGCATGTTTTCTAGCAGATGCTGCATTTGGCCCTTAAAAGTCTACAAGGAATATCCTTAAAAATGTACAGCAGTGATTTGTTCATGAATATGTGACTATGTGGCAGATGGAGCTATGCTCTAATGACCTACATTTGTACGCTGTCAATATGCAGGAGTTTCAGCACTATTACTTTTGAGGCATGCTATATTTGGTATAAAATTGATGAAGAAATGCATGTTACAGAATTTAAATTCATTATTTCAATGACTAAAAATGGAAAAAAATTTAAAAAATTTGATTCAATTTAATTTTACCTGAAGGTCCATTTAAATGAAACATAAAATGAAATAAATTATGTTGCTCCTCAAGATAAAAATCTGACATCGTGCATGACATTTTGATAGATTGCTTGAACTGTACATTTCTTGCTTCTATCAGTAGATCAATTATCAAATGTTTGCGAAGCAAACTAATTAAATATTTAAAGTTACTAATTGTTTGCTTTCTAGGATGCTCTTCCGTATTGAAGGTGTAAAAGGTGTATTTTTGTCCAAAGATGCTGTAACAATCACTAAAGTAAGCAGCTGAATATTATTTTGTTGAAACTTTTCTCATGCTATTTGTGTGCTCTTGTTTTTTCAATCATCATTGAATGTTTGCACACCAAAAAAAAAAGTCAACTCTTGATGGTACCGTAACTTAGGACCTCTGGTAGAATATGCAAATATGCAGCTATGTGTCTACTAAATTCCTGTTATTGTAATCAATTTATATTTTGTTTTTAAGTACAGATTTGGACATTTGGTGTTTAATTCCTACCTTATCAGAGCATGAATCTTTGGTAGAAGTTTTAACATAATGTTTGGAGGAGAGACACATTTCCACAGTATGCATTGTGGGACAATGCCCCAACTTAAGCTTGTTGATCTAAGCTAACATTTTTAAGTATAGAGTAATACCTCGTGAATTCGTGTTTTGGGATTCCTGAATTTCCGAATTCTTGAAATTTTCATTGGAACCTAATTGATTTTGCATTTGCTGTTTCTTTCACAGATTTGTAAAATCTTTGTAAAAACCTTGCTGATAGTTTTGTTTGATCTGTAGGAAATTTGTTTTTCATGGAAATTGTATTGTTTTTTTGGGGGGAAAGTTAAAGACATTCAGGAAATCAGATAAGAAGTTCCTTAGAAAGAATGTTGCTTTCCTATTTTTTAATGTTAATGTATTTAGCTAACTTTCAAATGGAAAGTCCTTTGAGAGCATGATTTGGGTCATTTTTAGGAGTTAAACACTAGAAATTAGCATTTATAAGCATTTTTCTCAATGTCTCCTGGTCCACGAGGGGTTCTAGAACCTAACCTCTCGAGTGTTGGAGGTATTACTGTAATAATTTTTATGGAGTTTGAAAACACTACAATTAAAGTATTACAAATCAAATTTTATTTACTGTTCACTAATTAGAAGATATCCAATTTCAATAATGAAAATTGTTATCTACCGTGTCAATATATTCCATTTGACTTAATTTAGGCTGATGATGACATAGACTGGAATATCATCAAGCCAGAAATATTTGCTGTAATAATGGATTTCTTCGCTAGTGGTCTCCCTGTTTTGACAGATGAGAAGAAGCCCTCCGGAGAAACAGGTAGTTCCACTACTAAGATGCCTCTTTTAAATTACTAGTAATTATTTACTTGAATACATTAGGTATTTCTTTTAAAATTATTCTATAGCTTAAGTCAAGGTGCAGCAGATTTTAAAAATGTTTTACAAAAATAATTGACCTTTTGATTGCTGACTAAAGACATTTTTAAATAGCTAGCCTTACCCAGTATAGTGATGTTACCTAGTATAGTGGTGTTACCCAGCATAGTGGTGTTACCCAGTATAGTGGTGTTACCCAGTATATTGGCTTGTTACCCAGTATAGTGGTGTTACCCAGTATAGTGGTGTTACCCAGCATAGTGGTGTTACCCAGTATAGTGGTGTTACCCAGTATAGTGGTGTTATCCAGTATAGTGGTGTTATCCAGTATAGTGGTGTTACCCAGTATATTGGCATTACCCAGTATATTGGCGTTACCCAGTATAGTGGTGTTACCCAGTATATTGGCTTGTTACCCAGCATAGTGGTGTTATCCAGCATAGTGGTTTTACCCAACATAGTGGTGTTACCCAGTATAGTGGTGTTACCCAGTATAGTGGTGTTACCCAACATAGTGGTGTTACCCAGTATAGTGGTGTTACCCAGTATAGTGGTGTTACCCAACATAGTGGTGTTACCCAGCATAGTGGTGTTACCCAGTATAGTGGTGTTACCCAGCATAGTGGTATTACCCAGTATAGTGGTGTTACCCAACATAGTGGTGTTACCCAGTATAGTGGTGTTACCCAGTACAGAGATGTTACCAATTATTAAAAGTCACAAAGTATAATAAATGGTTATCAATTTTCTTAGAAGTTAAAAGATCAAATTGCTTTGACAGAATATTGTCTAATTTGAGACACCCCCACCGGCCCCCACCCCCCTTTAAAAAAAAATCCCACTTGGTGGCACAGTAGTAAATCCCTTTCTTTGATTGAAATCTGTCGCCCAGTAATCAATGAAGAAGATGATGAAACTGTCGCCTTGATCAAAGAATTATTGGATACCAGGATCAGGCCCACAGTACAGGAAGATGGAGGAGATATTGTCTACATGGTGAGTAGGCTGCACAGAAGAGTTCAATTAAAAAAATTCATTGCTTCTGTTAAGTTTAGTCTTCAAAGCGCTATTCAAATCTCATCTTGCTCATATAATTAAAATTTATTAAACTTAAAATTTCTTTGCTGTCATCATCCTTTTTCTAGAGTTTAATAATATCAAGCATTACAATTTTTTAGTATTTCGTAAAAAGTTTAACAATATTCCAGGGTTTTGAGAAAGGTGTCGTCAAGCTGAAAATGCAGGGTTCCTGCAGCAGCTGCCCCAGTTCGATTGTAACCCTGAAACATGGTGTCCAAAACATGCTACAGTTTTATATTCCTGAAGTGCAGGCCGTAGAACAGGTCAGTATTTTCTTTGATTTGTTTTTTCATAGCGCAAAGATATTATTTTTCAATTGTCTGAAATTGCCTTAACTTTACCTTGACTAGAATTGCATGGAAGAAAAAAAAGTAGGAAATATTTCACAAATCCACAAATTTGTGAAATATATGTTGAAACTTTCTTAATTAACCAGATTAAACTTTAAAAATTAATTAAAGTGTCAGCTTAATTTGTATTTCCTTCTTTCCTTGAAAATGACAGTTTTGAATATGGTAAGGTGAGTGGCGCTAAATGATGAATTTATTTTATAAGAGGACAATTTCAATAAAATGAGTTAGAATTAGCTTGAAATTTGTGTATCTACAGGTCACAGATGAGGTTGATGCCATTTCAGAAAAAGAATTTCAAAAGGTTGAAGAAAAACTAAATAAGAAGACATAAAATTCAGTTAAGTAGTTACTGAGAGAAAATTTGATATTTTTGAGGCTCTTGCCTTTGCCATGTTACAAAATAGTAGCAAGTAAAGCTGAAAGACTTTTGTGATTTGTGCTCATTGTGTACTGGGTGAGGAGGGGGCGAAATCTCCAGGATAAACCACAGCAAAAGTATTGTGCGGATTGAATGTGCCCATGTCTTTGTAATGAATACAAATACAATTGTTCATGTATATAAACAAATCTGTGTGATGAATATGAAAAGGAAATAAACTAAATTAAATCCTTTTAAATTACTTTCATAGTTATCCATTTGAATAGTTCTAAATATATTTGTTTTCTTTAACCCATTGCCATTGGATAGTAAACAATAATATATACAAATGCCATTTGAGAATATTTTTTTTAAAGTTTCTCTGAATATTCAAGGAAACAAAATAAACTTGTTGAAGAAATCTTTAAGAATAAAATGTTTAAGAGAATGTTGACATTTAGTCAAATTAAAAACTTCCAAGACATGATTCTATCACCTTCTGTCAAGACATTGACATTACATTACATATTACATTTTCAATACTTACCCAGATGTATTAAGTAACTGTTTACTTAGGAATTTTTTTTCAATGTAAATAATTGCTCATCATCTCCGAATCCCCAATCAACATATTGTTTGGAAAAAAATTCTGGTGTGGCAGTTTGTTACAAATTAGTAAGATTTTAAGTGAATGATAAGTTTTATTTTAATGGTGTTGAGTTCCTACTGAATATCTCCTTAAACGTGTGTTCCATTATGACATCATTTAATGACTACGGACATCGTGGACATCATTAAATGATTACAAGTAACTAGTTTAAATTTATTATGTTTATTGTCACAATTTCATTATTTGCTTGGTCAAATAAAACAATGTATGATTCCAGTGATTTTGTCATGAATATCCAGTCTCAATGCTCAACATTGAACATAACATGATTCTCTGGTAATGCTGCAAAAACATAATTTATTCAAGTGACATTAAACAAAGCCAACAATAAGAATGGACAAAAATCATGATTTAAAACCATCACAAACTGACTAATTATATACAAAATATTAAATTGATTATAATATTATTAGATTAAAAAAAAAATAATCAGATAATTGATGTTTTTATACAAGAGTTATGTGTGCATAAATTTAAAACCCTATCTTATTGATAAATTTTTCACCATGAAAACAGTTGAGCTTTAAAAAACAGATTGACTAAATAGAAAATTAATTATAATAATGAACAGGTTAAAAACTGATGGTGGCATTAAAAACCACACAGGAATGTTGGGAGACAGTAAGGCACAAATGTTGGACCCAATATCAATAAATGACAACGTGACCAAATTGTTTTAGTTACCTAGCAGTTGCAGGGCTTGCCATAGTGCTCTGAATTTTTACATATTTTAATAAGATTATTTGAAGCAGAGCCTTCACTGCAGTAACATCACATAAAATAGTAAACATCTAACTCTTAATTTGAACACTGTGCTGTTGAACTTGGTTTATACCATTGAATATAAACCAATCTCTTTTTTTTCCCCCCAAATTTAATTCAAAATTTATTTCAATACCCCTTTGCGTCAATGATGAAAATGCTGCATATTATATATGATATAGAAAAATATGTCTGAACAACCTGGCAAGACACATGCAAGAATAATGCATAAAAAAATGGTTGTTATCAAGACCAAGACCTAAAATGATCTCACATAATTAAACATTGTTAGAATGTTTTCTCAAGTGCAATCTTCTCCCTTTATAGTGGACTTGCCCAAAAGCCACAACATAAACATGTTCATTATTTAGTAATGCACTACAAATACTACAGATAATATCGTGATAAGTGAAAAGTTATTTATTATTCCCCAAGGGGAATACGCCTATAACAACGTATAGATCTCACATAAAATATATGAATTTGGTCCTGCCTTATGGAATGTCATGAGAATAAAATTGCATAATTTTTTAGAAATATAGGACTAGCTATGGCACAAAGGCAATGTTGATGAAACTATTTTAAAAAAATTTCACATACATTTCATTGATCAGTTTATACAAAAATGTAAAAAAAATATATGTATTTAAGTATGTATTAAAAATTTATGTATAATGGAATGTAATTATATAATTTATAATTAACAATGAAAACTATTGACATATTTACAATAAGGATTAACGATGACGTTTCGCTCTATTTACTGACCTATCACAAACTGGCAATCACTAAATGTTCAGTGATAATCTCTCAAGAACAAATCTGGATTATTGTACGACAAGTCAATACCAAATACTGACACCAATTGGCAGTACGAGGCAATCTATTTAAATGCTTTACTTTTAAAGCACAACAACTTTTATTTGTGTGCATTTCTTTGTCATTTGTTGACTTTCAGTTTGGAAGTTAAATCCAATTAGTAAATGGGTCAATGGTTTCCTTTATGGGCTATTCAAAGGGGGAGAGAGGTACTTCACTAGCTCCCACTGAATTTTACACCTTGATCACACACAACTGTGTCCCGGCTTTTTAACTTTTTAATGTCAGTCAAATTAAGTAAAAATGACACTGACTTTGCTTCTCGCCCAACAAAATTGTTTTGGACGCCCCAGGGTTAATTTACGATGAGTGGACACATGATTTAGTTCTTACTGAAGTGACTAGAACATCATGAAGTTACTGCCCTAGTTGCTCTTTCTGCCCTGGCTCTACTTGGATGAGACCAGTCGACTCATGTAAAAAGCACATTTGTTGCAGTAGCCCTTGCCCTGCTCAATCTCTCGTTTACGACACAGCTGACAAGCAAGCTCCTCCCTGACCAGGGAGAGATCGTCGCTGTTGCTGCTGTCCTCCACGTCGTCAATCTCGTTATCAGACTTGGGCCCCCCGTGGTCATCATCACTGAAATACGCCCTGTCCATCTCAAACGCTCTAGACGAGAAGGTGGTCAGCTCAGCGGCAGACTCGTACCCGGCTGCCAGGTCAGATATGTGGTCGGCAAACGTCACAGACTTTCTCGGAGCTTTGCTCTTATTTTTCTTACTCTTCAAAACAGATTTTGGCTTCTTGCTGCCGGAATCAGACTTGCTGCCAGATTCAGACTTGCTGCGGTTTCTGGTCAAGTTTTTAGGTTTGGGTTTAATGGCTGGCTTATCACTGTGTTGGTCAAACTGTGATGCCAGGGCCCGAACACTTTGTTGCGGCAGCATGTCATCACAGCCCCTGACTTCCGACGACTCAGAAGTATGCATAGAATTCTTTATTATAGCGGTACTCTGTGCTTGATCTGGTTTCTGAAAGGAGAGAGAGAAAATCCCAATTAGAGAGATAGTTAAAAATATACATCGCAGATACATGATACAAGTCATATTGGCATTGTTGGGTGCCAGTTGATAGATTTATAATTTATATGTAATCAGACAAAAAGTAAATGAATGAATAATTAACATATTTGACATATGCATAAAATAAAAACTTTTGCTGGGAGTATAAATCAAACATACTTTAGTTCTAATTACAAGTAAATTTTTGGAGTAGCAGGATATACATTTTTTTATGTAGTGTAAATAATTATAAATAAAGCTAGTGGGAAAATTTGAGGAGGAATTCATATTCTCTATTCATGTAAAAATCTGGATAATTCCCGTTAAAAGATGCTTATTATGGTTGTCAGGGTGTTACAATGAAATAGTTGCATTTTCAGCTGTTACATGGATTGAAATGGTTACTCACGATAATCAATCATTACAATAATAGGAATACTAGTAAGTGACCAGCCTCTCAACTCAACTAAATGTTGTTTTTTAAATTCATTAATAGACAATAAGTAAAGAAATGTAAAAGTAAGCTCTTTTTTTTTTTTTTATTGCATTCAGTTTTTATTATATTTTCTTATTAAATTAATTTTAGTCTGGGATTACTTGGGAAAACTCCTCCTATTTCAATTTCCTGGGATAAGTAAAATCCAGGGATTCAGTAGTTAACACTAATTTGGGTACTAGAATACTCAGTAGTTACACTAATACGGTTGCTAGGGAGTAAAAATTACCAGGATATGTATATGGCCATCAACAAAATTAAAGGCAGTTAGTGACTCTTAATTTGTTCTTTAAAAGTTCCTGGACAAGATTGTTATTGTTAGTAGATCCAGCTAGCTAAAGGTTTGTCAATGTTAGTAAGTAGTAGGTCTAAAGTGTTACTGGTTCTCAAGAGAATATACATAGATATATTATTATTATTATTATTATATTATTATTAAATTATTAAATATAGTTATAGTTGAATATTAATAATATTAACAAAAAAATGTTAAGGGTTATGTGTAGAAAGGACTGTCAGTGTTAGTGCTGCATGCCACAAGCATTAAAGCAAGACTGGGGAAAACCTAGCCGGGGGGAAAACTATCTGATGTTCTGTTTGAAATGATCCCTTACCAAACAGCTGATTTTTTTTTTTTTTTCCAGGGGAAGGAGATCCAGAGAGAAATTAAAATCTAACAATATTAATATGTATTAAATTTAAAGAATTTTTACCTTTAAAATTATAATTTAAAAAAAAATTTTTTTTAGTTTTAGAAAGCAGGGAGATTTCAAAGCTCAGGGATCACTTATAACCCTCTCTTCCACCCCCTCTTCCTGCTTAAAATAACAAGCCTATCCAATGATGCAAACAGCAATACTTACTGTGGCAGTACTAGGGTTACTTGTTGGGTGGCTGGTAGCAAAAGAGGGAGGCAAGAAATCTGCGATAGCAAGAGAAATACCAGACATTACTTACTTGGAACAGAACAAACACAAATTATTTTTGGTTTAATAATTAAATTTTCTTCAAAAGTAACTTACTAAAATTTGTGGTTATCATCTGTTACCATGCTGGGAAATTGAAAAACTGGAGTGTTATTTTTATTATGAGGTTTCCCTTTAAATAGGTATCAATGTACCGAAAATGGAAAATGGAAAATATATTAAAAATATGTGTACCATATTATCTAATTTGAGAATGGTATGAAAATGAAATGAAGGAATAGTGATATTCTAAAAAAAAAAATCAAATAAATTATAAATTACAGAAATTTTCTTATGGTGTGTCTTCCAAACCGTGCTATATTAATATATATTTAAATATATATAAATATATTTATTTATTTAAAAAAAAAAAATTTTTAGGGTGGGGGGGATATATATACATATATATATATATATATATATCTCCCAAAAGTTGCAATGAAAAGTCAAGTCAGTGGATTGTTATAATTGGATCAGTGATAAGTTTATGTTACCTCTAAGGGAAATAAACTTTCAGTCTTTGGTTGTATCCAATAATAAATAATATATTGGAGGGCACATGCTTGTAGAAAACACATTTGAAGATGAAAAAGGAAAGAGTCGTGTTATATGAACAAACATGCTTGAAAAAAAAAAAAAAAAAGATATTGGGGAAAAAATTGTAGATACCAGACAAAAAGGAAAGAGTAGTGTTAAATGAACAAAAATGATTAAAAAAAAAAAAAAAAAGATATTGGGGAAAAAATTGTTGATACCAGACAAAGTAGATTTGATGGAGAGATAATTTTAAATGTTAGTAAGGATCATGTACCTGATCTGAGTTTATGGCTGCTGTTGGGCTCGGTGAGGTTCTGGCAGTCGGGCTGTGAGGAGCATCGCTCTAACGGGCGAGGTGTCGGGAGGTAATTCAAGGCTGTGCTGCTCGTGGCATGCTTGAGACCCTGAGATCCGGAGACCTGTGCTGCGGGCTGCCTGTAGGGCGGCAGAGGGGGGCCGGCCCCATTTCTCTTCTCTGAGCCCTGGCCGACGTGGCTGTTGGGGGCGACTCTCGCCACGCTTCGTTGCTGCGGCGGCAGGTCTCCACTGGGCTCCTCTTGATGACTGTAC